TCTCTCTCTCTCTCTCTCTCTCTCTCTCTCTCTCTCTCTCTCGTGCTCCCCCTTGTGCTGTCTCTCTCCTCCTCTTTCTCTCTTCCTCTCTGTCTTCCTCTCCTTCTCCCTCCCTCTCTCTCTCATGCTCTCCCCACCCTACCCCTGTTCTCTCTCTCCCTCTCTCTCTGTGTCTCTCTCCTCATGTTTTTTCTCCGCTGCCCTCTGTTCAGTTGTCCTTTTGCTCCTTCCTGGACGTTTTCTTTAAGGTGCCGCTGCTCATGTCTGATTTCATCAGTTACAAGCAGGTTCTACCAGTTCACCACACAGCAACCTCTGGGTGAGGCCTTTTTGTACCTTTTTTGTTCTGCAAGAGAAGTATTTCTTGATGGGGGTAGGGGTTGGGGGAGTGGTGTTCACAGAATTTTTAAAGAATCTGATAAACACGATTATGAACTCCAGAAAATGCACACACACAGATAGACACAAAGTTTAGCTGCGTTCGAAAGGCTCATGCACTGCCTGACTCTGCCCCGGTACCCACCAGGCCTGTGGGCCCCCCAGCCGTGGATCCCCTGGGGCATTTGCTACATCCCTGCTTCAAGGTTGGGGGCTGGATATCGAGGGCAGACTTGCCATCAGATGCCATCTGTCCCCTCACAAAGGCCTCCCTGCCCTTCTTGGCTTTCTCCCTACCCCTGTTGTGTCTTATGGATGTGACACTAATCCATAAGTCTTTCTGTGGAGTGGCATCACTAAGGGGATGTGGGGAGTGTGGACTGCTCCGGGTGACGCTGTCAGAGGGAGTGACACCAAAATGACTGTCTATAAAATTTTTGTGCAGTGTTTCAGCAGGAATTTATTATTTTTTATAAAAATATCCTGTAGTTAGTTATAACAACAAAAACATTTTTTGTAAACCCAGCTTACATGTATCAATATACCTACAAGGCTAACACTCTATGCTAATTTACTTTTTGAACCTTTTAATACACCCCAGAGTTGGAATCAACTCGACGGCAATGGGTTTGGTTTTGTTTTTTTTCATGCTCTCTGGTCAGAGCTGTCATTATTACCCAATTATAATGACGCTTCGAATCACATGGTTTCATCTGTACAAGCACGTGCTGTTGTTTTCATTGCGGCAGTGTTTTTACAGTTGCTGATTTTGTCAAATTTTCTGGTGTTTTAGCCACCATATTGTGGTAACTAGTACTTGTGAACCTGTCTCAATAACTTTTTTGAGAATGCAGTGGTAATTAAAGGAAAATAAGGAGTGATATACAGGAATTACGATTTACGAGTAACATTAGTATAGAAACATTATGAAGGATTCTGTATGGTCTGGCATGGGAGGAGGTCCATGGGGGGGGTGACACCATGAGCTACCACACTGGGTGACACCAACTCTAGTGACACAATGAACCTTCTAAACACACAAGACACACACTGGGCTGACCTCCTAGGCCAATCCCTAGTGTGAAGAGGAGAAATCTTCATTTCAAGCTCGGCCCCGACAGGTTGCTGGCCCTGTATTCATTTGGCCAGGAAACACTATGTTCACAGAACTGTGGGCATATAGACTTTTATTTTTTTCGGTCTTAGTACAACCTAAAAGCCCCTTCCCTGGAAACAAAAAGGGTACTATATCAGATGCAGTCTTATTTAGGAAATGCTTAGCCTCTGTAACTAGAAGTAAGTAGATTACATTTTTTAAAAGATTAATTTAATCTCCATAACAAGGTCTGCTTAGAGGAATATATTTGTTCAATTATGAAACGTTTCCAAAGGACAAATGGAAGCTGGGAAGCTTGAAATATTTTTCAAATTAACGAGATTAAGAAAGTCTACTCCAACATTAACTTTTCATAAAGCGGTCATTCCCAGCTAGTATGTTCTCTTACTTTTAATTTTTTTTTTTTTGACAGCTTTAGTGGAGTATAATTTATAGAACATCAAATTCACCTGTTAACATACAATGAAAAATATTTTTCAAATTTTTGGTTTTTTTCAAATTACAATTCAATGATTGTAATAAACTTAGAGTTATGCAACCATCACAATGCTCTAATCTGAGAACATTTCCATCACCCCTAAAATGGCTTCTTATGTTTTAAGCACAAGAAGCAACATTAGAAAACTGAAAATTCTAATTTATCACTTCTTACATTTGCATCATCAAAGTCAGTCTCTTACTAATAAATGACCTTCACTGATATCTCTTCCAGGCAAACACGAGACAGCTGGAGCAAAGCTCTTGCAATCTTATCAGAAACTGAGGTGAGTGTAGCAAAAGGACGAGCCGTCCTGCGCCCGCCCGCGGGGCAGGAGCACAAAGGACACCCTGAACAAACTTTAAGATGTCTTGACTTTCAGATGTCACTGCTTTGGAATGTAACTTTAAAAAAAAAGAGAGAGAGAGAGAGAGAGAAGGTGCTTGGAAAAGATGCAAACAGAGATGGTTTCAGATTCTGATGAAAAGCCTTCAAGGAGGTAGCATAATATTTTACAAGTAAACATTTCGTTTTGTTTCTTAAATTCTCCCGAAAGGTTGTGAGGAAACAAAATATTATTTTTGGTTGCACAGTAAATGAAATTCTAAACCCAGCATTCCCTCTTATTAATCACGCCCATCTCCAACGCTTCGTCCAGTGCCTGGCACCGCACGGCCAGGCCATAAACATTTGTGGAAGTGAATGATGGCCTTTGAGATGGCAACTTCTTGACACGAAGTTCTAAAAACCCAGCCATGTGGAAGCTAGCGATAATTCACATACCTGCGGGCCTGACCGTTTATTAAACGATGGCTTCCAGCTCCCCGCCGGGAGCTGTTTTTCGGCGCATTGGGGGATTTTCTGGTCTCAGGACTTTTTCATTTTTACCCGTCCTCCCACCCCTCCTCCCTCCCCCTCACTCCCATTTTTTCCAAGCCTCCGATTCCCTCTCCTAGTTGATGTTTATATCCAAAATGCTTTTGGCCCTTCTGCTGATGTGGTTGTCACAGACTCAGATGGGAACCCAGACGTGGGGTCTGGGATTCTGGAACAGCCCCAGTTGCCCGGCCAGGCCCTGAACCCCCACCCCCCCGATCTTTGAGAGTAGAGACGGAATGAAAAGCCCAGATGTCAGGAAGTGTCCCACGGTGTCCCCATATCCAGATACTGAGAAATAATGGCCTTGGGGAGGGGATTCTTTTCTACAAAAGAGCTGAGAAGTTGAATGACAGGATAATGACGCATTGCTGCTTTTGTGACACCAGCACTTATATGGCTCCTAACCTGTTCCTTATTCCTGCGTTTGCCCTTAGCAGCAAAATTTCCGTGGTTCCTCCCACGCCACCTCCCCAAAGTGAAAACCAGTGCTGCGGCCAGACAGGGGTAAGGTATCTGTGTGTCCTGGGGTTCTCTTGGGAAGGGAAATGGAAAGCAAGACAGGGAGGAAGGAGATTTGAAGGGGTTGGGTGGAGAACCTTGTAGCAAAGGGACTGGCTTGGTCTGGAGTGGGTCATAAACAAGGCAGAGAACGAAGGTCCCAAATTAGAGGCTGGGGCGCTCTGGGCCTCCCCAAGTGTGTGTGCTTCCACCGCCTGGCAGGGGCCGGGGGACCATCTGCCGTTACCCGCCTGCTCTCCTCTGTCTGTGTCCAACACGCCTTCTCTACTTTTGTTCATTGGCCTCTTCTCTAATCTGCCCTGTGCCTTTCAGTGTGTGTTATTGGGAAGGCTGGTGTGTGCCTGGGGTCCCCATGTGTCTAAAGGGAATGGGGGTTGGTTCAGAGTGTGTGAGAGAGAGTGTACAAGTGTGTGTGCCCATCTTTGATTGTCTGTAGACTCAAATGTGGAGTGGACCAGGGCCAGTGCTGTCAAAAGCAAAGTCGGCAGTTCGAAGCCACAAGCTGCTCCTTGGAAACCCTATGGGGCAGTTCTACTTTGTCCTATAGGGTCTCTATGAGTCAGAATCGACTCGATGGCAGCGGGTTTGGTGTCATCTTGGGGGTTACCTGGGTGTTATGGATTGAACTGTGTGACCCAAAAATATGTGTTGTAAATCCTAACCTCTATGCCTGTGGTTATAATCCCTTTTGAGAATGGGTTGTCTTTGTTATGTTAATGAGGTAGGATTAGTTGAGCGTGTGTCTTTGGTCAATCTCTTATGAGATGTAAAAGAAATTAAACAAGCAAGGAAGCGAGCAGAGATGGGGGAAGATAGATGAAGGTCACCAAGAAGCCAAGGAACAAGGACCTTTCCCCAGAGCTGAAAGAGAGACAAAGCCTTCCCCTAGAGCTGGCACCCTGAATTCAGACTTTTAGCCTCATAAACTGTGAGAAAATTTCTGTGTGTCATTTGTGGGATTTCTGTTACAGCAGCCCTAGATAACTAAGACACTGGGTTTTCCACCTAAGAAGTGGAAACAAGAATTTTCGTCTGGCTCCCTCCATGGGTGTTGTGAGAATAAAATGATGCCTCTGCTGGTGCTTTGGCAACTGTAATGTGCACTGGGAACAGAGGGTGTGGGTTATCTTCATTAGTATTATTCTGTGAATGAAAGGAAACCACCATATTGGCGTGAACAAGACGGGAAAGCACATCTGGTGCGGGGAGAGAGAAAACATAAACATTCCTTTCCAATATCAATGGAGACCCAGGTGCTCGTCAAAACCCTGCTCTAGTTCTCCTTGAGATTTAAATTATCCAAAGGTGTTTGGTCACATTCCTGTGCCAGCATCTGTGAGCTCAGTGCATATCTATTGGGGAATGGATGTATGGATGTATGGATGGATGTATGGATGGTTGGGCGGTTGGATAGGTGGATGGTTGGATGGATGGATGGATGGATGGGTGGATGGAGGAATGGATGGGTGGATGGATGGATGGATGGATGGATGGATGGATGGGTCGGTGGGTGGGTGGGTGGAGGGATGGAGGGAGGGACGGATGGATGGATGGATGGATGGGTGGATTGAGGGATGGCTGTCTGTCTGTCTGTCTGTCTGTCTGGCTGGCTGGATGGATGGATGGACAGGTGAGATCTATAGAGGGAAGTGATCTTCTTTCTGTTGTTTTCACTCCTTTTCTCTTCTGCTTTGGAAGGCGGTGCTACTTGGCTCCAGTCTGGCTACCATGTGCCCTGTCCACCCTCAGCCCCTATGTCTCATGCATTCCATCCCCTCAGCCCTTACGTTGTGTGCATTCCATCCGTGTGGGTGTCCCTCTGCGTTCAGCTGGGGTGGGGTTATAGAGAAAGGAGGTTAAGCAAGCAGTAATTTACTTGGGTACAATCTTTAAGCCAATAAAATGTCAGTCATTATTTCAAGAGATAGTTGTTATCTTGTCAACAACCCATTGATAAAGTCCCTCCCTTCAATGTGAATGTCAAAATACAGTGAAGGAAGCTGAGTAAAGAGGATACCTGCTTCCTGAGGGGCCTGTGTCCCTCCTCACTAGCAGGCATGCATGCATACACCCACACCCGCATGTGCCCACACCTACACACACACCCCACGTACCTGCGCAACACACTCACACCAACGTGCACCACACATGCATTCATAGTTGTACACACACATAGGTGCCCACACCTACACACATACCCACACACACCTGCACGACACACACATACCACCTGTGCAACACACCCACACCTGCACTCACCCACAACTGTACACACTTGAATCCACACCTGCACACAGACTACCTGTGCAACATACCCACACCTGCCTACACCCACACCTGCACAACCCACACCTGGGCACACACTTCTGCACACACATACACACCTGCACACACACGCAACACATCCCCACACACCCCCCCATGCACACACTCACTTCTGCACACACACCCGCACACACCCCCATACGCACACACTCACTTCTGCACACACACCCGCACACACCCCCATACGCACACACTCACTTCTGCACACACACCCGCACACACCCCCATACGCACACACTCACTTCTGCACACACACCCGCACACACCCCCATGCACACACTCACTTCTGCACATACACCTGCACACACGCGCACACCCCCACACCACACCTGCCTGCACCCAAACCTGCAGGCGCTGGCCAGTGGTTTGGAGCTGGCAGCCTAGAGGCTGCTGGGGCAGACACAGGCCATGAAACATAACTTACTCTCTCTCCTGTCTGTTTTAGTTACAGGAACTTGGCCAGTTTAAAGGATTTAATAAGTCGGTGGAAAATCTGTTTCTGTCTGTTACCACCCACATGAAAAGTAAGTGGATGTCACTCCGTATGTTCCTCCTGCAGCCAACCAGCCTGGCCAAGCCGACTGGCCCGGGCCTGGCGGTGACCTGGGCTGGGACTATCCCTGGGACAGGGCCAAGGGGAAGTCCAGCACTGGGCTGTCCACTCTTCACCGGCACGGTGGCCTCTGGCTCCACTGGGGGAAGAGAAGACGCCACCTCAGCCACTTGGCTGGCTGGTCTCCTCCTGCTCCATCCAAACACCCCTGAGCTCCTCGCAGGGAAGGAACTTGAAGTTACACTAACTTTCATTTCAGACTCTCTAGAAGACCAACAGAGAAAGGTAGTGACAGGATTACAAAATCTAAAACCAGAACCTTCCAGGCCAGGTAGGGGAGCCAATATCCCCCTTTTACGTGGCCTGACTTTTCCAGTCTCCCCATAAATTTATCTTCTTCAATTAGCATTGGTTTGCAGAAGCAAGTAACCCAGAAGTAGCACTGCTTAGAATCTCGTCTCTTTCTGGGTTCTTTTTGCTCAGATACTTTTTCCTGTTTATCTTAAGACTCAGGTCCTGGAGGGAGAACAGACCCTCTCGTGCCTCCTAGAGGCCGGGCATGGGCAGTACTGAGGACAGGGGCTCAGGCTCTGCACATCACCTCCGCCTGAGTCTCCTGCAGTTGCGTACGGAGGGTCTCATTGCTGCGCGAGGCTCGGAGACAATCTTATCCTTTGGTTTAATGAATCATCTGTATTCCCGGCAGCCCTGACTAAACTGCTGCATGCCGACCGTTGAAATCAAAGCGAGGCTTTCCAAACAGGGCTATCTCAGGTAGCAGACGGCCCCCTTCTCCTTCAGAAGGGAGGGGCTCCGGAATTTCTTGCCCCGTTTGCAATAGTGCCTGGGGTTTTCCAATCCGCCCCACCCCACCAGGCCCTGACATTCTCTGCACAGCAGCCTTGGACACGGCTCTGATCATCACAGCTGTGCTCTCTGACCAGCTGGCTCTTCTAGTCGGGCCCTTTTCTGCACTTGCTAGACACACAGCCCCTGCCCACATTTGTGTGGCTTATGTGAACGCCCTACCATGCCACTGTGTCTTCAGGGCATGGGACTAACCCCACCCCTTCTGATCACTTGCCCGCAGAAACCCCGTCCACCCGCTGCATCTCACAGCTGCCCCCTAGATGCATGGACCGACGTGAAGGGCGCTCTCGCTTGCTGGCAATTACTAACACCCACCCCCACCCTGGCCTGTGCAGATACTCCAAGTGAGGGACTGGCCAGTTTAATGCCCCGAACAACATCATCATTATCAGCAACCACCAGAGCTGGTCTCTGGGCTGGACTTGGCAAGAGCACAGCAACATCCCTTTTCTGATGTAGGAAAGTGACTGAGACCACCTAACCTGTGTCCCCTCCCCCAGTGATCCCCTGATGTCCAGGCTCTAAGACTTCCTAGGACATTGAGGACTTGGCCCAGAGGCAAGGACAGAAACCCCTGGCTTTCTGGGCCCCTGGAATGAAGATATGTCCCCGCCCTTTCCCGGATACACAACCTCACTCAGGTGTCCAGCAGCAGGACAGTTAGTATGCCATAGGGGATGTTGTCTTTGAGTGATGTAAATGGTTAAAGCTCTTGGATGCTAACCAATAGGTTGGAGATTTGAGTTCACCCAGAGGTGCCTCGGAAGAAAGTCCTGGCAATCTGCATCCAAAAAATCAGCCACTGAAAACCCCGAGGAGCACAGTTCTACTCTGACACACATGGGGGTCACCTTGAGTGGTAGTCAACTTGATGGCAACTTTTTTTCTTTTTTAGGGGCTGTTGGGAGATGCTGGTTCATATTTCTCAGGTTTTCAGCTATTTTCCATGTGTCCCTCTTGATCCTTTTTGCCGTCTGTTTCCCTATGGAAGTGGATACGAGGAAAGCCTCATTTGGGTAGGAGGAAGTAAGACTGGAGCCTGCAGTCCGGGGCCCCAATGGCCCAGAACACTGTGGGGAAGCCCAGTCAACCCAAGGGGTTTTGGAAGCTGACCCTGAATGACAACCTCTGCCTGTTGATGTTGTCCTGGGAAGTCAAACCAGCTGGAAGAAATGTGTTATTCCAGCCCTTTTTATTATCAGGGTATTTCTAGGAGATTTCAGCATATCAGCTCCCCCGCCCCCACACACACCTCAGAGGGGGAGGAAATGAGAAAACTGAAGGCGCGGGGCTTCTTTGTTTTTGTTTTCGTTTTCACCCCCAGTAGCACCGTATATAAGCCTGCTTGTTAGAACCTGAATTGCTTGGGGAGGCTTTTTCCCCCTTAAGGAGTGGATGGAAATGGGCCAAATGAAGGCTCAGGTTTGGGGTGGTGAGAGCAGAGCAGATGGCTGGGGAGAATAACATCTCCCGAGGGCATGAAATTAGAGCCCCTTGTGTCCTCCCACCAGCCCGGGACTTAGCTGTGTGAAGATTTCATGTCGTATTTTGTCAGCTTCAAGGACTGGTGTGCGCTGGTCCCTTTCTAGCTCCCTGACATAGAAAATGCCCCCAAGATTTCTGGGTGGGAGACTTGAGGGAGCAGGGGCAGTATTGCCCTCAGAGAGGAAGAGGCTCATGTGCATCCTGGTGGAAAAGTGAATGCCGAGGGTGTTTCTGGGGTCTTCTCCTGCGAGGACAGATGTTCTACAGACTTAGCTCTGGGCAGTGCACAAGGCTGAGGGTTCATGCGATATCCTCTCCGTGATGAACGAGCCAGAGGCCGAGAGGGGCCTGGAGCCACCCTGTCCAGTACGGGAACCACCAGCGCATGTGGCCATTGGGCACTTGAGATGTGGTGTCCAAAGTGAGGCATGCACTAAGTAAAACGCATACCCGATTTCGGAGACTTATCATGAAGACAATGTAAAATATTCCATTAATAATTTTTACAGAAATTACATGTTTCTGAAACAACATTTTTGCTATATTGAGTTAAATAAATCATTACATTTTAAAATATATTATTAAAAACTACTTTCATTTATTTCATTTGGCTTTTGCTCATGAGGCTCTAGAAAGTCTGGAATTATGGCCGTAGCTCGCCTCCGATCTCTACGGTGCAGTGCTCCTCTAGAGATCATTCCTGAGGCCCACGTTTGAGGGAAACGAGGATCTCATGGGAAAAGGAAGTCAGTTTGGGAGGAAGAGTTCATCTCTGAGTGGTTCTCACTTTGGTGTGTGGGTTCCTTCCTTCTCGCTTGATCCGTCTTTATTGTAGACCACTGTTATTCTGTAAAAACAAAAACCAAGTCTGAAGCCATCTTTTCAGGAGTCTCTTACTAACACGGTTGTGAGGACTCCCCCAGGAAGGGGCGTTTGGATATGAACTCTTTGTAAGGAACCCCGAGAAGCCTGCTTCTTTGTTATGTTGGCATCTTTTTGTTTGGACAGCTGCATACTTGTGACGTAGAACCGGGGTCGCGTATGACAGGATGTGTACAATACCATCTCAATGACTGACTCAGCCAGGAGGCAGAGGGGTGGTCTGAGCTGCCCTTTAACTCCGGCCCTGGCAGGGGTCCCCACCTTCCTGCTTGGGGACCACAGAGCGATCCTTGAGGGGATTCAGCTCTTTTCCCTCCCTTGGCAAGGGACTATGTACCCACGTCCAGATGAAGTCTAGTGGACTCTCTGAGCACCTCTGTGCTTCCCCCGGCCCCAAAGCTGGCACAGGGATGCGCCTGTGCCCCTCTGAGCTTTTCACTTGCAGACCATGGGGCCCACCTGGTTTGGGTTGTGAGACATCTCAAGTATGGCTTCGGAAGTCTTGGCAAAGCTGCGCGTTCCCGCCGGTCATCTCCTTGTGTTTGTTTTCTAGAGCTCTCCAAGTCCCAGAATGACATGATCTCTGACAAACACCGCCTAACCACGGGTCACAGGCAGAGCGCAGGTCGGACCGAGAGGAGGAGCCAGTCTGACACCGCCATCAACGCCACCAGGGTACTCCAGGGGCCACGGCCGCCACGCGCGCTGCAATCCTGTCTTCTTTCCAAGCTTTCCAACTCATTTGCTCCACAGATTTACTTCTCCTTTTATTTTATAGCAAAATGTTGCTAGGTGCCATTGAGTCAGTTCTGAACACAGAACAAAACACTGCCCGGTCCTGCACCGTCCTCACAATTGTTATGCTTGAGCCCATTGTTGCAGCCACTGTGTCAATCCATCGCATCGAGGGTCTTCCTCTCTTTCGCTGACCCTCTACAACAAAACATTAAGCCCCTCTATTTGCAGAGGAGTTCCTGGGCAGTGCAAAGGGATAACGAGCTCAGCTGCTAACCAAAAGATTGGAGGTTCGAGTCCACCCGGAGGTGCCTTGGAAGAAAGACCCGATGATCTACTTCCGAATAATCAGCCACTGAAAACCCTGTGGAGCAGTTCTACTCTGACACACATAGGGTCGCCATGAGTTGGATTTGATTTAACAGCAACTATTTATTTGGGGTGGCCTGAGCAAATGATAAAGAGTCCTGGTGGTGCAGTGGTTAAGCACTCATCTGCTAACCGAGAGGTTGGTGATTCAAACCCACCAGCCAGTCAGAGGGAGAAAGATGTGGCAGCCTGCTTCCATAAAGATTACAGCCTTGGAAACCCTATCGGGTAGTTCTACTCTGTCCTATAGGGTTGCTATGAGTTGGAATTGACTCGATGGCAACTGGTTTGGGTTCTGTTTGTTTGTACCAAGTAAAGGTCAAAATTCAAGGTCGATTCTGGAAAATAGTTCAGGACACCGAGAGGCTTGGACCTAATTGTGAGCCTAGGGGCGTTGTTGTATCCACCCCATGCTCCCTGCTGGCTGCAAGGCCCTACCAATGACAGAGGGCTTCCCTGCAGGACCAAGACCTGCCAAGCTGTATTCCTGGGGTCTGTGAATACCTCCCTGAGGGATGAGAGCCTTCCTACTTCCGTTCAAGACAAACTTGGGTTAAAATCTGTTCCTGGTCTCAGTAGAAACTGTAGAAAAAATAAATGCTGCACAGTCATGTGTAACTCAGGAGGGAGACTCTTTCTCCAGGTGTCTGAACCACAGAAAGAGTCACCTAATACATCTTTAGGGACAGCATTCCTCTGGCTTCTACCAGGATGAATCACGCCTGGAGTGGAGTGCTGGGGAATAAGAGAAAGCAGACTTTAGCCTCAGAGCACCTGGCTCCAGGACAGTTGAGGTGGCCGGCTCCAGCAGGTGCCCCCGGATGCTGGCAGGTTTGACACGACTGCTCAGGTTGGTTGACAGAGGCCCACTCTCCGCAGCTGTGTGTTCAACCCAAGACTTTCCCAGACAGACTGGTCTTCAGGCGAGGGTCTGAGGCCAGCCTCACTCTGCTGCTGGGACTTCCATAAGAGCTTTCAAATCCTGCCTCCATCTGCTAGTCTGGTTACCTGGGGCACAGCACCTGAGCTCCCTGAGCCTCAGAATGAGCCTCTGTAAAATGAAGGTGGTAACACTGTTCTGCCCACCTCACAGGCTCTTGTAAAGACCCAGTGAAATAATGTAACATCTAAATTACATGATCGAAATGATCTCAGCACATCATCTAAATTGCTAGCATTTGCTGTTATTTGTAATGGACTATTTTTCAGAGCAGTTTTAGGTGTACAGAAGAATTGTGCAGAAAGTACGGAGTTCCCATACACCCCCTCTCTCCTGCACACTGTTTCTCCTAGTATTAACAGCTGGCGTTGTTGTTGTTAAGTGCCGTCGAGTCTGTTCCAACTCATAGCGACCTTATGTACAACAGAACCAAACACTGCCCGGTCCTGGGTCCTGCGCCATCCTCACAATCATTGTTATGCTTGAGCCCATTGTTGCAGCCACTGTGTCAATCCATCTCATTGAGGGTCTTCCTCTTTTCTGCTGACCCTCTACTTCACCAAGCATGATGTCCTTCTCCAGGGACTGGTCCCTCCTGATAACATGTCCAAAGTGCGTGAGAGAAAGTGTCTCCATCCTAGCTTCTAAGGAGCATTCTGGCTGTACTTCTTCCAAAACAGATTTGTTTGTTCTTTTGGCAGTCCATGGTATATTCAGTGCCCTTCGCCAACACCATAATTCAAATGCACCAATTCTTCTTTGGCCTTACTTATTTATTGTCCAGCTTTCAAATGTGTATGAGGTAATGGAAAACACCATGGCTTGGATCAAGCAAATAAATAAATAAATAAATTTTGTTTATTTTGTCCTCAAAATGACATCTTTGCTTTTCAACACTATAAAGAGGTCTTTTGCAGCAGTTTTGCCCAATGCAATACATCATTTGATTTCTTGACTGCTGCTTCCATGGGTGTTGATTGTGGAGCCAAGTAAAATGAAATCCTTGACAATGTCCATCATGATGTTGCTTATCAGTCCAGTTGTGATCATTTTTGTTATCTTTATGTGGAAGTGTAATCCATAAAAGGATGTGATCTTTGATCGTCATCAGTAAGTGCTTCAAGTCCTCTTGGCTTTCAGCAAGCAAGGTTGTGTCATCTGCATATCACAGGTTGTTAATGAGTCTTCCTCCAATCCTGATGCCACATTCTTGCATTAGTGTGGTACATTTGTTACAACTGATACATTATTATTAACTAAGGTACACAGTTACATTAGGGTTCACAGTTTGTGTTGTACAGTCTTATGGGTTTCGTTTTTCTAAATTTCATTCATTTTGTTGTTGTTGAGATATACACAGCAAAACATACATCAATTCAACAGTTTCCACATGTACAATTTAGTGACAATGATTACATTCTTCGAGTTATAACCATTCTCACCCTCCTTTTCTGAGTTGTTCCTCCCCCATTAACGTAAACTCACTGCCCACTAAATTTCCTATCTAATCTTTCGAGTTGCTATTGTCAGTTTGATCTCATATAGATTGTTCTTAAAAGAGCATAATGCTCAAGGCAAACCTTTTTTACTAGTTAAGTTAAACTATTGTTCAGTTTTAAGATGACTTTAGGAGATATTTTTGGTTTAAAGTTTAAAGATTATCTCAGGGCAATAGTTTCAGAGGTTCATCCACCCTCCGTGGCTCCAGAAAGTCTAGAGTCCATGAGGATCTGAAATTCTGTTCTGCATTTTCTCCCTTTTTCTCAAGATTCTTCTGTGGAATCTTCAATCAAAATGTTCAGTAATGGTAGGTGGGCACCATCCAGTTCTTGACTCATGGTAAAGGAGGCAATTGTTCATGGAGGCAATTAGCCACACATTCCATATCCTCGTCCTATTCCTGATTCTCCTTCTTCCTCTGTTGCTCTAGGTGAATAGAGACCAGTTGTTGTGCTTTGGATGGCTGCTTGCAAGCGTTTAAGGCCCCAGGTGCTATGCAATGAAGTAGGAGGTAGAACAGAAGCACTAAACATGTTATTAGGCGAATTAACTGGGATGCCCCATGAATCCATAACCCTAAACCTCCAAACCAAGGAACCAAATCCCATGAGGTGTTTGGTTGTACATAAGCAGCCTCAGTGGCTACTTTTTTTTTTTTTAGTTGTTGTTGTAAATATATCTATCATACAACTTTTGCCAAATTCAACTTTTTACAGCAATTACAATAATTACAACCCTACACTTAATCAATGCAATGTTTCTATCACTGCTAACCTCCCTTTTCTTCCTCCCTTCCTCCCCTGGTAACCTCTAATAAACTTTGGTCTCTGTACGTCTGCCTTTTCTTGTCTTTTTATGTAAGTGAGGTCATACAATATTTCTCCTTTTGTGATTGGCTTATTTCACTCAGCATAATGTCTTCAAGCTCCATCCACACTGTAGCAAGTATCAAGACTTCATTTCTCCTACTGGCTGAGTAGTATTCCACTGTATGTATGTACCACACTGTGTTTATTCGTTTGCCTGTTGATGGACATTTAGGTTGTTTCCACCTTTTCACTATTGCGAATAGTGCTGCAATGAACATTGGTGTAAAATTTTCTGTTTGAGTCTCTGCTCTCCTATATGTTTTGACAAACGCATAATGTTATGTGTTTACCATGACAGTACCATACAAAATAGTTTCACTGCCCTAAAAATGCCCTTTGCACCACCCATTTATCTCATTTATCTCTTCGCCTTCCTCCTTCCCCCCGGTAACCACTGATCTTCTCACTGAATCTATAACTTTGCCTTTTCTTGAAAGTGAGTGTAGTTGGAATCCTACAATATGTAGCTTTTTCAGACTAGTTTCTTTCACTTAGCAACATGCATGTGAGGTTTCTCCATATCTTTTCATAGTTTGATAGCTTGTTTCTCTGTGTCGCTGGATAATACTCCACTGTATGGCTCCACCACAGTTTGCTTATCCTTTCTCCTATTGTAGGACATCTTGGTTGCTTCCATTTTCAGGCACCAGCATTTATTACTATGTGCCACTCTATGCTAAAAGCTTCACAGGGGTTAGCTCATTCTAACCTCACAACAACCCTGTGCAGTCGGTATTGCATTTACCGGTAACCTTATTTTACATCTAGGGAAAATGAGGCTTAGAGAGATGAAGTAACAAGGTTGACTAACTAGAAAGTGGTTGGCTGAGGTTCGAACTCACACAGTCTTGATCTGGAGCCTGAACTGGGAGCAGTGATTCTCAAGCTGTAATGTGTGTGTGAATCCCAGGGAGCCCTTGTTAAAATGCAGATTCTGAGTCAGTCGGTCTGGGATGGGGCATGAGGTGCAGAATCTCAGGTGCGTTTCTAACAAGATCCCAGGTGACTGGTGATGCAGATGCTGCTGGTCCTCAGACCACTTTTAGTAGTAAGGTGTCTGGAGTATTTGAAATGTATCTGGAAGGCTTTGAAACCTTGAAGTGCAGACAAGTATAAGTTCATGTTAGCTTTCCAGGGTCTCCACGAGCATCCTCTTAACTGCCTTCCGACACTCCTCCCCCTCCGTAAGTGACACAGACCTGGGAGAGGGTTGTCATTCGTTTATGAAGCACTTACTGTATTCCTGGCATAATGGCAGCATTTTTTCATACTTTATCACATTCAATTCTTGCAGAAATACTGAGTAAGATATTGTTAGTCTCATTAAACCAAAAAAACCAAACCCATTGCCACTGAATTGATTCTGACTCATAGGGACCCTATAGGACAGAGTAGAACTACCCCTATAGGGTTTTCGAGGGGCAGCTGAGAGATCTGAACTGCCGACCTTTTGGTTAGCAGCCTGAGACCAAAAACCTGAGTTTTCGTAAGGCTTGTCTAATATCACAGAGCTAATAAAAATGAAACCAGGATCAGAATCTAGTTTGTCAGATTCTAAATCCTAAACTCTTAACCTCCACATTATATGCACCAAGTAGGAAAGACGAATGAGGATCACTGAGGCCAAGGGGCTGCTGAAGGGAATTCTGGGTAGCACAAATAATTCTCTTACTCACCCAGGTCAGATAAAGCCACTCTGATGCTACTATGTGCTAAGGGTGAGGTTAGTATGGTTACTGTCCCCACTAAAGATGAGGACACTGGGGCAAAGAGATGCCCAGGGGGTGGTGTGGTCAGAAGTGGCAGAGCCCGGTAAAACCTGCTCCAGAGACTGCACTGCCCATATCAGCTATGGGAGGAGTGGCCTTGATGGATCCTGGAAGAAGAGACAGAGGGTCTGGGTGGCAGGGTTTGGTGGATGCTGACCATGCTGAGTGCCCAGGGAAGTTTGTAGACCACGTTTCCCATCTCTGACATGATGTACTGTGTGATGGGGCAGGCAGAGTGACTGGCATTCTGAATGCTGGTAGCACTTGGCACAACTATATACATTATACAAGCAATTAACAAAGTATTTTTTTAATGAAATATGTTGATTTTTTCCTTTTTATGAGCACATTAGAGCTAAAACTCTGCCCATGGGTCTGAATATCATATTTCATGCCAGGATCATTTTTAAGGGCAAGTTGTGGACCTTCCATTTCTTTAAGACTTTTACAAATCCCTAAGCACCTCAAGCATATCAACGGCTGTGAGGAGGGCGCAGGACCAGGCAGTGTTTCCTTCTGTTGTACATGGGGTTGCTGTGAGTCAGAACTGACTCAACAGCACCTAACAACAACAATAACAAGTAACTCACATCACTGTCCATGAATATGCAAAGCTTAATGACGCCGGCCTCAGGGCCCAGTGGGTGTGTGCGTATGCATTTTTCCAAACACAAGAGTGTTCTCTTAGCCATAGAATTTTGCATGTTAGTAACATCAGGTAATAGATGCAGGCTGGGCTTTTTGAAGTCACCGTATTTGAACAAAATCAAACTGGGATGCAAACTATAATATTCATTTGGTTTTCCTTTTCCAGAAGGTCAGCTCATCAGATATTCTGATATCTCTCAATCAAGAGGACCCCAAACACTCTCCTGACCCTGTTTTGAAGCAAGAGAGAGTCTCATCCAGCCCAGATGTCTGTCCGTTGTTCTCTGGAGACTTGAGACATGTGAGTATTGTCCTAATATTCTTGGCATGTGATGTGTGGTTGTGACTATGACATCAAATTGGATTGATAGGTAGGGTGTTGGAGTGAACTCTTGTCTTCTTAGACTGAAGTATGCAAGAGAGTGTAGGCAATATCTTACTTAGATGGGACCTGGGGAAAACCTGGATATACTTTGATGGTGTTGTTTCTTCTTCGTGACATCTTGTTTTGAGCACATTCATGCATCCAGAGTAATTAATAATAAAATAATGGTGTCCGTCCCAGTTTCCTAGTGCTGCTGTCACAGAAATACCACAAGTGGGTGGCTTTAAAGAAGAGAAATTTATTTTCTCACAGTTCAGGGGGCTAGAAGTCTGAATTTAGGGTGTCGACTACAGGGGAAGGCTCTCTCTGTTGGCTCTGGGGGAAGATCTTTGTCTCTTTCAGCTTCTATTCCTTGGTTTCTTGGCCATCTCCACGTGGCATCCATCTTCCTTCTGTTAGTGCTTGCTTGCTTGCTTGTCTATGTGCCTGATCTGCTCTTTTTATATCTTGAAAGCGAGTTGGTTTAAGATACACCGTATACTTACATGGCCTTATTAACATAACAAAGAAAACTCTATCCCGAAATGACATTACATCCACAGGTTTAGGGGTTAGGATTCCAATACACATTTTTGGAGCACACAATTCAATCAGTAATAGTGTCTTTTGATGAGAAGTTTTTAATTTTGATGACATCTAATATATCCAATTTTTCTCTGATGGTTATTTCTGTTTCTTGTCTGAAAAACCTTTACCAACCCACAAGTCATGAAGAACATTCTCCTATGTTTTCTTCTAGAAGCTTTAGAAAAGTGTTAGCTTTTATGTTTAGGTCTATGATCCATCTCAAATTAATTTTTGTGAATGGTGTAGGGTTGAGGTTCATTTTTTTTTTTCTATTTGGATATCCGGTTGGTCCAACTCCATTTGTGAAAAGGAGTTTCATTGACTTTGGTGCCTTTGTTGGAAATCAAATGACCACAGAAGTGTAGGTCTTTCTCTGGCTCTCTGTTCTGTTCACTGATGTCTTTGTTTCTCCTTATGCCAATACCACACTGTCCTGAGTGCTGAAGATTTATAGTCCTCTTGAAGTCAGGTGATGTAAGTCTTCCAACTTTGCTTTTCTTTCCAAGATAGATTTGTGATGTTTAAATGTAGTCTCTGTCTATAAGCAGGCATTTTTTCATTCATTCATTCATTCATTTGTTTATTCAAAATTGAAGAATTGAATGTTACTTTATGCCTTGGAGCCCTGGTGGTGTAGTGGTTAAGCGCTGTGGCTGCTAACCAAAAGATAAGCAGTTTGAATCTACCAGCCAGTCCTTGGAAACCCTATGGGGCAGTTCTACTCTGTCCTGTAGGGTCGCTATTAGTTGGAATCAACTTGATGGCAATGGTTTTTTTTTTTTTTTAATGCCTAGAATTGTGATACATGGTATAGTAGATGGGGCCTTGGACGACAGGTCATGAGGCCTCAATTACAGTCATAACTCCTTGAAGAACCTGTTGCCATCTAGTCAACTCTGACTTGTGGCAACCCTATGTGTGTCTGGGTAGAACTGCACGCCACAGGATTTTCGACAGCTGATTTTTTGGAAGTAGTTTGCCAGGCTTTCTTCCAAGGTGCCTCTGGCTAGACTTGAACTTCCAATCTCTCTAAATGTCAGAGTCCTCATCAAGAAATGGGTATCAGGCTTGTTTTATTTCACTGGATTGCTTTGAGAATCCAATGAGTGCGGGAATTCCTTCACATCCGTGGACATGGTGTAGTATAGTGGGTCCACAGCCTCTAGAAATCAGTTTCTCGGGTTTAAGTTCCAGCTTCTCTGGTGGCAAGGAGTGTGACCCAGAGCAACTCCTTTACCCACTCTGTGCCTCGGGCTGTTTGTGTTTTTATGTGAAATGGTGTTAGACTCAGGTAATTACAAACTTTCTCCCCATCTACGTGAATGTCCAGAGCATTCAAAAATCATGGCAGAAGCAGGCAAGACCCATACTAACACCCCTAACCCCTCCCCTAAATGCTAGTAGCCCCCAACCCACCCTTCACCAGCTCCAGCGGGCAGTCCTGCCCCACTAAACCACTGCTCTACACCTTCACTACTGAAAATGCGGGACCCAGCAGCATCCACATCATCTGGGAGCAATGCAGAAGCTCAGGCCCCAGTGCAGACCTGGTGATTCAGAATCTGCAGTTTAACAAGGGCCCCAGGAGAGTCATGTTGTGGATTGAATTGTGTCCCAAAAAATATGTGTCAACTTGGTTAGGCCGTGATTCCCAGTATTGTGTGGTTGTCCTCCATTTTGTGATTGTAATTTTATGTTAAAGAGGATTAGGGTGGGATTGTAACACCCTTACTAAGGTCACATCTCTGACCCAATGTAAAGGGAGTTTCCCTGGGGTGTGGCCTGCACCACATTTTATCTTACAAGAGATAAAAGGAAAGGGAAGCAAGCAGAGAGTGGGGACCTCATACCACCAAGAAAGCAGTGCTGGGAGCAGAGGGTATCCTTTGGACCCAGGGTCCCTGTGCAGAGAAGCTCCTAGTCTGGGGGAAGATTGATGAGAAGGCCGACAGAGAGAGAAAGCCTTCCCCTGGAGCTGACATCCTGAATTTGGACTTTCAGCCTACTTTACTGTGAGGATATAAATTTCTCTTTGTAAAAGCCATCCACTTGTGGTATTTCTGCTACAGCAGCACTAGATGACTCAGACAAGTCACGTGCATGTCCAAGTTTGAGAAACACAGGTCCAGCACTGACAATTGCAAACACTGAATAGAGTGTGTAATTTGTTAAGGGTTCTTTAACAGTCTAGAGCTGTGCTGTCCAATATAGTACCTTTGGTCACGTGTGGCTACTGAGCACTTGAAATGTGGCTAGAACAAGTTGAGATCTCCTTTGAGCACAGAATGCACACTGGACTTCAAAGACTTTTTGTAGTTGTTAGGTGCCATCAAGTCAGTTCTAGCTCATAGTGACCCTATGTACAACAAAATGAAATACTGCCTGGTACTGCACCATCCTCACAATTGTTGCTATGTTTGAGCCCATTGTTGCAGCCACTGTGTCAATCCATCTCATTGAGGGTCTTCCTCTTTTTCGCTGACCCTCTACTTTACCAAGCATGATGTCCTTCTCCAGGGACAGGTCCCTCCTGATAACATGTCCAAAGTACGTGAGATGAAGTCTTGCCATCCTTGCTTCCAAGGAGCACTCTGGTTGTACTTCTTCCAAGACAGATTTGTTCATTCTTCTGGCATTCCGTGGTATAGTCAATATTCTTCGCCAACACCATAATTCAAAGGCATCAATTCTTCTTCAGTCTTCCTTATTCATTGTTCAGGTTTCACATGCATATGAGGCTACTCAAAATATCATGTTTTGGGTCAGGTGCACCTTAGTCCTCAAAGTAACATCTTTGCTTTTCAACACTTCAAAGACTTAGTTCAAAGAGTATTAAAAAAAAGAATGTCAAATATCTCATTAATTTTTATATTGAAACATGTGGAAGTGACAATATTTTGGGTATTATTAGATTAAATAAAATATACTATTGAAGTTAATTTCACCTGTTTCTTTTCTTAATGTGGCTACTGTTGTTCTTAGGCACCTTCAAGTCAATTCTGACTCATAGCGACCCTACAGTACAGAGTAGAACCTCCCCGTAGGGTTTCCAAGGAGCGGCTTGTGGATTCCAACCGCCAACCTTTTGGTTAACAGCCGAGCTCTTAACCACTGTGCCTCCAGGGCTCCAATGTGGCTACTAGAGAATTTTAAATTACCCGTCTGGCTCACATGGTATTTCTTTGGGACGGCACTGGTCTCCACACTCTCATTGTGCGTTAGGTAGCACCTGGGGGAGGAGCCCTTTTCCCATGTGGGCCTGTGCCAAGGTGCATGGTCCTGGTAAGAACATCCACGCTTTCATCCGTTCTGAAGCATATTGGCTGAGAACCAGGGTTCGGCTCCCAAATGCAAATACCGTTCACATGAGTCTTCTTCTCATGGGGTAACTCTCTGCTGGGGCTGGGACCACAGCTCTTACTTTACAGACTAGCAGTTGAGTGTGGCTACTTGCCCGTGTCACACATGGGTTGCAGCAGAGGAGGACCGAATTTCTGATCCTCTGTGACCTGGGTGCCCTTTTCATTCTGGAAGTGAGGGCCGTGAGAAGTTTGGAACAGCCCTGCCAGCACATTTCAGAGAGCTGGTGTTTGAGGAAGGCTAGCACCTCCCTTCCTGACAAGGTGTTGTTGACATCTAAGGAGAGTTCAGAAAGATGAAAGCATTGAGGTAACACTTCCCTGAGAGCGAGGTAGGCAAGGGCAGGTCCAGAACATTCTTTTCCAGGGTTGAGCCCTGTGAAGGCTATGCGATGTGGGTGCATAGGAGAGACCTCTGGGAGACTTCCAAGGCTCATTTGAAGCTTTGCCCCTACCCCAGGTGATGGAAGGGCTCCCAGGAATTCAGTTGCCTTGCACCTAGGACGGGGAGGCTCCACCATCAGGGAGAATACATGGGCGCTCCCACTGGACTAGACCGTGAGCTCCTCCAGGGCCACAATCAAGTCTTTGTATCCCCAGACACCAACACACAAAGCCAGGTGCACAGTACAGGATCCACCCTACAGTGGCCAGCTGGGGTCCTGTGTGATTTGCCCCACCCAACCACCTGCTCTGACCTCACCCGGGCTTACTCCACTCAAGCCTCACTGGCCATGCGCTGGTCCTTGAACGTTCAGACACACCCCTGCTTAAGGCCTTCCTGCAGTCTGTTCTCGCTCCCAGGGCTGCACCGTGACTTGTCCCCTTCCTTCCTCCGTCTTTGCTCAGATGTCCCCTTCTCAGGGTGGTCTAACCTCCCTGCTCCATTCTGCACTCCCACCCCCTTCCCTGCATCCACAGCTCTTCTCGCCTTCTATGCATGATGTAGTTGACTTGTCTCTTATTCATTGTCTATACCGTCTCCCACTA